TTTTAAGTCATAGGTTGACTCATGTAAATTGTTATTTGATGACAGTTTCATATAGTTTAATCTGATACTTTCCAGCTTTCTTATTTGGCTTTAGGTTTGATTGTCTGGAGTACAATTTTTTTCCTTTGGTCTGGAAAATAATTTAATTATGAAATTTTAAAGTTTTAGCTCATTATCGGAAAGACTAACTGTGATTTCTCATGGTTTTCTTCAGAAAATTATTTCCTTCGCTTTAATTGAGTGTTTTTCCATTTGCTGAACTGAACTGCTGTGTCCAAAACTTGCTTTGGCAATCAGAAATGATTTGCCTTTATTTGAATATCAAAGGAGATTCTGTGAAGAGGTGTATAAATGGAAAATATTTTATGAGAACATTTATTTTTGTCTGAATTATTTGAATGTATTAGAAAAACAGGTTACAAAGGTTGTAGTACTGTTTAAACTGTGGATTAACGGGCTGGGCAGATAGCTTTAAGGTCTAAGTGCTTCCCTGGTAAGTGCAAGGACCTGGGTTTGATCCCTGGTACTATGTGCCATGCAGGCCCCGGAACTCCTGGGCATGCAGCACTGGTCACTGAGAATGGGTGTGGTGGTGCATCTGTAATCCCAGCACTGGGGAGGCTGAGACAGGAGGATCATTAAGAGTTTGAGCTGGAAAAAAAAAAAAAAAGTCTGAGCTGCATAGTGAGACCCTGTACCAAATAAATAAAATATTTTTAAAAAATTAAAAATAACTATTGATTAAACAATGTATGAAAAAAATCCATTTTCACTCTGGAAATTTTATTGAAAGCATATTTGGAAATAGTTATAAAGAAGGACATTGCAGCAGAAACTTTGGGTTTGTTGTGAAACAGGTAAAGTTTATATCTCCTGCCACTCTATATATCTTTGGACAAATTAGCCTTAGTTCCTTCTGTTTAGATGGGGATAACTTACAAGATTTTAGTGAGTATTAATCAGATAATGTTTGTTAAGGGAATCATACAGTGCAGTCAATAGTAGACATTAAGTAAATGTTTGCTCTTAAACTGACCACATGAGAAGAAGTATTTGTGCTCAGAAAAGATCACTAGAACATTGTAAGTGCCCGCTAGATTGCAGGCACTGTCTTTGGCAGTTGATACTTTCAGGTCAGTGGCTTAACTTTTTTGAGTCTTCTCTAACGGAATTAAAAACTCCACAGAATACT